CACTGTTTTCTAGTTCATTATCCGATTCTGTTGCATTTTGATTTTCGTTCAAAAAAGTCTATAAAGAAAAGTTGAATATTATTTAAATGCTATTATAGTATTTAAAATTATTGTAATGTATTCGAAAAATAAAGTATTTATCTATTAAAGGTAATTGTATTTTAGATTTAAATAGTCCCAATCAATTAGTCGCCTACTATAAAAATGTAGTCAGTAGAAATCAATTGAGTTTTACATTTATTTTGTTAAACAAATCTAATACTTATTAGTTAATATTATGAATAACGATGCAACATTTAATCAGTTGATAAAAAAATGAGTAGAGATCAAAATTTAATTAGGTAGATACYATTATTATGTTTTACTTGGTTTTTTTATACATTTTTTTTATATATTTTTTTTTTATACATTTTTTTTTTATACTGTGACATAAAAAAAGATGTATTTGAATATTTGTAAAGGTATGTCTATATATTATTTTAAATACCTACTACAAGTATGTGGTGATTGTTTTTAAAAGTAATTTTTTTTAAAGAAACATTCATAGGTATATAACAAAATTAAATTTTTAAAAATAAGAAAACCGCAATCGTCTAACATAAGATTTATAAATGACAGATAATAATAATAATTATAAATGTACATTTTCAGTTACCGAAAAATACAAATGATTGGATTACAATAGCTAAGGACTTCAACAACAAATGGAACTCCCCCCATTGCCTCGGTGCTATTGATGGGAAACATATTGTAATACAATGTCCGGGAAACAGTGGCTCAGAATTTTATAACTATAAAGGCACGTTTAGTATTGTCTTAATGGCTTTAGTAGATGCAAATTATTTGATTACGTATATTGACGTTGGGTGCCAAGGTCGCATCAGTGACGGTGGTGTTTTCAGAAATACATCTCTTTACAAAAAATTAGAACAGAACGAACTTAATCTTCCTATAGATGAGCCACTTCCAACAAAAACCGAAATGATGYCATATGTTTTTGTCAGAGWTGCTGCATTTGCATTGGCCAAACATACAATGAAACCATACTCGGGCGTATATGAAAAAGGTAACTCGAAACGTATATTTAATTATAGGCTTTCAAGAGCTCGCCGAATTGTTGAGGACGTATTTGGTATAATGTCATCTGTTTTTCGTGTTTTGAGAAAGCCAATTATATTAAACGAACACAGAAATTCAGACATAGCAATGACGTGTGCATTGCTGCACAATTTTTTAAAAAGAAGTAAGTCATCAAGAGCAAGCTATTCTCCCCCAGGAACATTTGATTCTGAACATTAAAATGAAGACCATTCAGGTTCCTGGAGAACAGACCAGAGTGATATGTCATCATTTTTGCCAGTTCGGAGAGTGGCTCGAAAATCTGGACTTGAAGCTCTCCGAATAAGAGATTTATTCGCTCAATACTTCGTGACAAACGGAGCAGTGACTTGGCAGAATAACAAATAATTAATTAAGAATATTATAATRKTATATATAATATTATTGTATTATGCCGTGTATCCACGAAAACAGGGTAAACTATCAGTACCTACCCTATATGCATATTATAAAATTATCTTTGCGCAACGTTAAGGTTAAACTAGTCTATTAGATCATACATTTCTTCAATTATTTTAACTCATATATTTGTAACACAAATTATTTTTTTTTTAGTACTGAGTAGTGAGTTGTAACTTATAAATGAGTGTAGGTACTCTGTTTTCGCGTGGACATACAGTACATAATAATATAATATAGACTATCATATCGTCTATGTAGGATGTATTTTACTAATACGTTGACTTTTTATTTAATTTGTTAGTTAATAAACCTTATACTAAGTAAACCTTATCTTTAGTAGTCTAGACCTAAGGTGAATTTTTTTTTTGTTGTTATATAATTGATTGTAACATATCAAAAAAGGTTCATTCGATAACAATAGCCAATAGGTTCATGGTTCACGATACGCATGAATTCGTTTTTTGGGTATTGCAGCTGCTTTTACATTGTCAACCAAACATAACAGCTAGTATTTTATTTTATATATCATTTAAGATTATTTATTAGAGATTTTTGTGGTTAAGATTAAGTTTTTCTAAACTCAGGTTTATGCCGAACGAAAAAAATTTTAGTTTACGTTTTTTATTAACATATTATAACGGAAACTGTACAATTTTTTCATTTTAAACATTAAAAACGTTAAGTGAACACAAACTAAGCCTAATTTTATTACATTATACCATACTGTTCAATTAACTATTTAACTATATAATTATTTGTAGTTTGAACTAACCTCTGTATTTTGTGTGACTCTAGGTTGGAAAACTCCATGCAAAAAACTTCGCCATGATATCATAGGCAAACCAGTCGGGCTTATATATGTCTGCTGTACCTGAACCAGTCTTTTTACTTCCTCTTACCTTTGAGGCCAGTTTTCGGTAGGTGGACATTAATGAATCTCTCTCTTTTTTTAGTTCATTTATTGTACATGATACACTAATGTTATCAGCAATCCTTTGTCACGAATCAATAACATAGTTCCTGTTTTTATGTTTTGGGTCCCTTGGATTCCAAATAGCTGGTTCCTTTTCGTACAAATCCAAGAACTCGACAATAAGATCATTTGACCAATTCATATTAAAATTTATTAAAAAGTTAATTTTAATAAAAAAAAACTTAGATTTTCAAATAAAACTTATTTAAAACAATAATAAATAAAAACTAGGTAAATTTTTTAAAATGTRCCGTCGAAAAATTGAACAAGCCGCACCGCGCCGTGGGATTACAATACACGCGCCGTGCCTATTTTCTTTTGACGCGGGACCCAAAAACCGACAATCATCGGAAACGGTCGCGCTGCCTCGCGCCATCGCCATGCCATGCCACGCCGCGCCGCACCGATCCCACGGCGCGTCGGTTGTACCACGCTTTACCAAGCTACGCGCCGCGCTCCACGCCACGGCCCACGGGCCGTGGGATCGCACCTATAGAGATCTCCATATTGATTCTGAAGTAATTATTAATATGTTTGCTTCAAAAAAAGAAAGAAGATTGGATTTTAAATTATAAACAGTTGTTTAATTATTTATTTATATATATTATTATTATTTTTATTATCAAAGTTGGTAAAATCTGAACTTTTAGTTATGTTTACAATTATTTAATTGACTTCATTTATACCTATAATTCTCATCTATATGAGTAAATTGAAAATMAATGAAAACAAATTATAGGTATTAAAATATAATTTTTTTTTAAAACCCTAGCCCTAGCTAATATTATAGTATTGGTACACTGAGTGCAGACGTTTCCACCACTCACCACTGTCCAGCTCGGACGCATCTCATGTTGCCGCTAAGCCTTGTTATGTTTGTCTTTGGTCCATCGTTCAACTGTATACTACAGCTCTGTCTAAGGTTTTTCATTATCTCAGTTTGTTAATCAACATTTAAATACTGTCATAAATRAAATTCTTATAGTTGATCCTTGTACATATTCAACACAATAGTCTCGGAGACATCTAACAGTTCGGTATCTTGTATAATGATTGTTCGACATCACTCTCCATCGCTGTTCACAGCATCCAAGATACACGTGACCATCTCGTTCATACCAGCCAGGATCTTCAATTGTCAGTTCGGTCAATTAACATTGATTTATAATTATATTCAGGTGGATTGGCCATCCCCTGTTTAGTTCATTTATTATATTGTTTTGTACTGATGAATGAACTGTTCTATTGTTAATACTTGACAATTTTCAGCTATTTACTTAAATTCTGTGGTGCGAGTAAACATTTATCAGAATATAAATATTAAATATGTAATTGAATTACTGATATAATTTTACCCCGTATTTATAAAATTTTGACTCGTAATAGAATTTACAACGAATTAATTAAATGCATCGATTTTGGGTAAAGTACAAAATAACCAAAATTATATTATAGAGCCCATACGTGTGATAAAAATAACAACTAATATTAAATATCTACATGAATAAACATTTACTTCGAACTTTTTTAAATTTAAAGTCATTAATACCTTTAAATTTAAAAATTTAAAAAAATATCCATAAAACATAGCATTACGTTTTTAAATATTTCACAATGATTTCATAATAATCTACTCAAATAATTAACTAGTATTTACTATTTATTATTTTCTAACAAAATTATAACTTAAAAAAATGAGATCGAAACATTTTTTTAAATAAAAAAAAATTGAAAAATATGTATACTTACGAATACAGTTGAAATGTTTTTGGACTTGCATTCACTGATACGCTGATTGGTCCTATAAACGCCACAGCTACTTTTAGCGCGTGTTCATCGGATTGTGGCAGTATTGTAATGTTTGAAATTTGAATAACAGATCTAAACTTTTTAAAATGACACAATGTTTTCTGAAATAAATTCAGTAAAATTAAAAATAAATAATTCTATYCTCGTACTTAAGTAAAAATACAACTTATTATTTATTACAATTGACTATAATATTAACAGAACATAAGGATGCATCACAGAATAGATACAATGGATGTATGTCTCTTATTTCCCATAATCATTTAAAACAAAAACAATTTTCCATTGCTACCTATTCATTATTGTCTTACCTATACCTATCACCGTTAACTAATACAGTAATACAGCACTTTTTCATGAGATCTAGATTATAATTTTGTAATTGTTAAATATGTTAAGTTTAAATACCACAGTTTGGTAACCACTGATTTAAACCAATATATATATATATATATATATATCTTAAAAATCTCGTCAACACTCAAGACTCAACTTGCAATTCACCGATATGACGTGTACTATGTATATTTCCTGATAAGCAAATTGTGTACAATTATTTAATTTTAGAATTTAGATAAAACTGGAAACTAGAACATTTCTACCATTTAATTTAGGTTTGATTCTCAATTAATAAATTAATTWATCAGTTTATCGCGTGTATTGACGAAAAACGGATATGTGATTATTTTGGTTAATTCGGTTAATTTGTTATTTTATTGTGCGTATTTATGAACAACAGACGTGAATTTTTTCTTAGATTCAATTTTTCATTTTTATTATTTTACTTAGTGGATTTACGAATGACGCAGTGTGTTTCTACTGAAATGGAACGGTGGTTTAAAACGGTCTCCATAAGATCTGAAAATCATCAGTCAACAACTGTTGATCGATCAAAGGAAGATAAGAATTATTGTAGCAAAAATTATACCAAAAGAATCACATTCGGAATATGATGTATGAAGTTCTGCTTTAGAGTCTACGATACCTGATGTAGAAATTCTGAAAGGAAACAAAAAACGAAAATATGAACGATTCGTATTTAGACAATTGGATTCACTGAATCTTCCAATGRACGTTCTCAATGTGTTATATGTAACAAAGTTATGCCTAATAGCTCGATTTCCCTGCTATGCTTAGACGACATTTTAGAACACATACTGACTTTACAAATAAAACTGCWAACTATTTTAAAAGAAAAAAGTGATGAACTCCATGCAACTCAAAAAACGTTTGTATCTCATGTAAAGACAGATTGTGAAAAAGCACTGAAAGCATCGTACTTAGTAAGTTATGAATTGGCTCTTGCTGGCAAACCGCACACCTTCGCTGAAACTTTTATAAAACCACTATTAGTAAAAGTAGTAAAGTGTATAGCCGATGGAAAAACTGCGAATTTTATCTCAAGTTTACCTTTATCAAATAATACTGTGTGTATTCAGGATTTATTATACGATATTAAAGACACCATAATTTCTCGTATCAATTAAACATAATTTTCGTTACAACTTGAMAAATCGACGGACGTCGCTAGATTAGCTGTGGTAATGACACTTGTATGGTACGAATTTTCTGGTATTTTTCATGAAGATATTTTGTTCTGCAAACAACTTCTATC